ATGTTACATTACTTGAAGTGTGTGTGTGTGTGTGTGTGTGTTCCAACAATTTAAAATAGGTTTGTAGTTTAAAGTATATTAAGTGATTATGAACGTTGAATTCCAAAACTTTTCGAGAATTTAAAATTGTGAACGAATATACATGACAACCTCATCTCTCAGAAAGTCTCGTCCACCGCCCACAAAGTAAGGAAGTGCTCCATCATCTTACTCTGCAAGGTCTTCCATTTTCAGGTGGAATAGTCCCTGTTAAGATTTATTCGTTGACCCGTTCTTTAGCTTCGACTGTAAAGATAAACACGATGACAAAATCTAACGACAACTGGTAAAGGTTGTTTATGCCAAGGTACTTAGAATATTTATGGGTGTCAGTGAAGTATTCTAGTGCGGTATTTACATCTTTTATTATAATGTGATTCACAGCTTATTCGTTGCCATGTACATAGAAGGCAGTAGACTTAAATAATGTGTAGGGTCACTTGGCTGTTAAACGCATGGGGTTCTGTCACGGCGTCACAGCTCTACAGAACTTGACGTGGAAGGGAAAGATTCCTTGGTAAAATGGTTTAAATCCTCCAGTCACAGCCCAGAGACATAAACTTGTGACTGATAAAACATAACACCTTCAGTATCCTGCTGCAGCCTCTTGGGTTCACGGATTAAGATAACGTAACACTGTAATGTTTATTTGTGAGTGTTGTTGCTCTGCTGTTTTATTGGAATTCCGTAGTGCAATGGATATCCTGAATATCTTGAGGCAGCTGAAGCTTGTGTATGTTGTTCAGCAGGTATATAAAGTGTAGGTACAGACAAGTTGTGGGTGTGATGGTGGTTGAGGTGCTGTTAGCCGGGATTATCACGGTGTTCGCCTCCTGGTATTTCTCATTGCTAATCATGGTAATATTCCTGGCTATCATGTGGTAAACCCTGAGAAAGAAGTGTAATGCGTTATATTCAGGAGATAAAACATGAATACATTAAACTGTCTCAATTTTTTGTGTAGAACAACATTTAGTCGTATGTGTAAACGTTAGCTTTGAGGGAAGCAACTTTTATTAACTCTGAATGGTATATCTCCAGGCTCTATATCACAATGCTAAATGAGGGCTTAGTCGTTATCAAAACATAATAAGAATTGTGAAAAACAGCGAATATCACACTAAAAACATACCATGCCGGACTGTGGTGGCTTGGGGGAGCGTTACATTCCAAAGTTATGGTACGAAATTATTAGAAGGATTTTCTCGTATTACATAGCATTACTTCGCTTAAACATGTATTACGGAACATGAGTGCGGCCCCTCGGTAGACGTGTACAGCCATGAGGCTCCTACACGCCTAGTATGTACCACATATAACAGTGCTTGTCAACAAAACCATAATTCGAAGAAGGTTACTGATGTCACGAGTGTTCTGCCACCTACCGTAAGTGATATAGCAATATATTTGTTTGTATACTTCTGGTAATTTACACGTGATTTTGTTTACTATGTCCTTGGTGGTGTCCTGAGGCCAACTCCCAGCAGTTTGAGTGGCACCATGTATATAGTCTTTACACTGATGCCTATAGACTCTCTAACAGTGTGCTGTCACTTTGTTCTCTGTTTTCCCTTTAAAAATTAGTTTAAATCTTAAGGACTACAGTAAGTGACAATTCCGTTATTGAGAGTTGGTTATTATATTTCTAGACTATTTCCTCAAAATTTGTCCCCGCACGCCGGCATGCCCCTGTGATATCTCCAAACATATGTGAGAACTTCGACCTATACGGATCTATTGGAAGTGTCGTAGCTCTTGTCAGAATTGATCGTTTCTACGCCATTAACAATACTACAGGTATATGGCGGAAAATATATGACCATTTACTACATCATCAACAATACAACCATTATTACTGGCACCGTACTATTATTGGTTAGCTAAAAAAAAAAAAGATATTGATTTCGTAGAGATGGCGTAGCCGAATATACGCGTGTCATAGCAAGATATATGAGAGAGTGTTGGGTTATAATTTCCCCCATGTGCCACTACAACTTCCTGCAGATTTATTGACGCTTGCTGGTGTGAGTTATTATGCACATAAATAAGAATATGACATAATGCCACGATTATCTACACAGAGACAAATTTCAGCAAGGCAAAAGCGGATTAGCCAACTGGGAGAGCGTGCGCATGTGGTGGATCGATTCTCTTGGTGGACAGACTGACTAGACAAGCGGCTGATCTTTTTCCATTTTACCTGATTTTTTAAAGTTTTGTAAGTTAATGTTGTCTATACTGTACTCAAAGGATCTAAGTGTTGGGCTCCAGACTACAACAATGGAACCTCCTATCAACGAATAGGCTGTAGGATGTCTCTTAAAATGCACTTCTTGCATTCTCATCTTTTACTTTTTTTACTTTTTTACTTTTATCCTCTTCGCCACTGATCGGCTTGTTAGCCGCTTGGGCGATCGGTCACGTCTCTTTTCCTTTATATTCTTCACCAAAAGGTCGGCTCGCTAGCCGCCCGGGCGATCGGTCACGTCTCTGTCACGCACTGTTGGCAAATACTGGGCATGCACCGGCTCCTGAATGTACCTGAACCCGCTCCAGTGTTGGTCAAGTCTTCTCTTGAAAGAGCTCACACTCGGTGCCGTCACAACACTCTCTGGTAGATTGTTCCAAGAGTTTACAACCCTCACTCCGAAAAAGTTTGCCCTCACGGTTTTCTGGACTTGCGGCTTCTTCAATCTTGAGCTGTGACCCCTTGTGGGGCGAGCGTCCGCCAGCTCCAAGTAAGGACACTCAACTGAGTAGTGCCCCCTGAGATGCTTATAAACCTCAACTAGGTCCCCCCTTGCCCGTCTGTAGTATAAGCTAGGCAAGTTCAGGCGCTCCAATCTCTCAGGGTAGCTGAGGTGCCGAAGTGCAGGCACCAGTTTGGTGGCCCTCCTCTGAACATTTTCAACCAACTGACAGTCCCTAGCATATCTCGGGGACCAGATGGGGTGACAGTACTCCAGATGGGGAAGCACTTCACTCCTGAAGATCGTCACGAGGGACGGACCGTCTAGATATCTGAACGACCTTCTTATAAGACCCAATAATTTATTTGCCTGATTTACCTTCTTCTCACAATGGCCCGAGAACTTCAGCTCATTGTCAACATACACACCTAGGTCCTTCTCACACACAGTCTCAACTAGTACATTTTCTTCATCCCGTTGGGACATATGGTACGCCTCCTTACCGTTGGTACGCCCCAGGTGCATCCTCTTACACTTCGTGACATTGAATCTCAGCAGCCATTCCTTCGACCATTCCTGGAGCCCACAGAGGTCCTTCTGCAGCTCTTCACAGTCCGCTTGGTTCTTAATTTCCCGAAATAACTTGCCATCATCGGCAAACATTTGTATGGAGGAGTGTACAACGTCAGGCATATCATTTATGAAACAAACAAACAACAGCGGGCCCAATACACTACCCTGCGGTACCCCACTTGTTACAGGTACAGATGACGATTTCGTGCCATTAATCACCACACATTGCTTGCGGTCATGTAGAAAGTCTTCTATCCACGCTAGGACATTTCCCCGAATTCCGTACCCTTCCAGTTTGATTTTCAGCCTTTCGTGGGGTACACTGTCGAAAGCCTTGGCAAAATCTAGGTAAATATTGTCGATATTACCACCCCGTTCTAGAATATGGGTCCAAATATCCAATACCTTGAGCAATTGTGTCAAGCAAGAGCGCCCCGGCATAAAACCGTGTTGGCAATCTTTTACAAGGTTGTTTCGTAGTAGATGTTCCATCGCTGCATCTCTGATAATACTCTCAAGTACTTTACATATTATGCTGGTCAGGCTCACCGGTCTATAGTTGTTCGTGGAGTGACTATCGCCCTTCTTGAAGATAGGACTCACATAAGCCACTTTCCATTCACTGGGGACCATTTGTTCATCCAGGCATTTACAAAACAGAATCTTCAGGGGCTCTGCAAGCTCGTTGCACAGCTCCCTTAGCACTCTAGGATGCACCATGTCAGGTCCAGGACTCTTATGGACCTTTAGCCTGGACAGTTTATTTCTAATACCCTCTTCTGTGAACACCTAATCTGGCTGAGGTAAGTGATGAGCTTGGTGAAAGGTTCCACCAAAACATGTCGGTATCAAGGCCGGTTCAATCCAAACATGATGGGTGATTACTGCTGGTTCCTACAACGGGGGACCATTTCCGCACACAAACGCAAGAGCAAGTTTCACACACTGTTGAACACTAACGAGCGGTGCTTACGCTGAATATATTGAAATTAGTTTAGGATGTTCTAATGTTTTTATTAGGGTCTTTTTTCTGTAACTTGCTTATGTTCTTGAGTTGTATACTACGTATCAAAAACATGGAGATCAATCATTGTTATCTAAATATGATGTGAAAGTAATTACTAAGCACTGTTGTTAGGTGTACAGCCTCGTTAAGGTTCTTGGAACACTGCTGGAGACAGATGGCAACTCAAGGCCGTTTGTTTACTATATTACGTAGTATAATATAATACGAAACAAAGCCCAACTATGAATTAAGCAACAGGGAACTAAGTAACCAATCACCGATAACCTTTTACATTCATTCATAATTGTTACTACGTACTATAGTAAACAAACGGCCTTGAGTTGCCAGCTGTCTCCAGCAGTGTTCCAAGAACCTTAACGAGACTGTACAATGTGGTAATATACAATCATAAAGTGTCTAATATACCATGGCGGGTATCATTAATATATATACATAACTTGAAAACCTGGCTGAATTCTGACTTCAGATTTGAAATCGGTGGCCTAGATTTACTCAAGAACACCAGTGTTATTGAATCATTTAATATTTCAATTCAATTGAATCAGTTTTCTCCTTGGTTTTTAAGAAATAACTTAATGAAGCTTTATTTTTTGCTTTAAGTGGTTAATTAAATATAATTTAAATAATTACAATTTTATTGTAAGATGTGCAAGTGTCGGTGAGCTGTGAGCCGAGAATCCGGTTATGAAGTGATGGTGGTGCACGAACGGTGAGTCGATGTCAACAACAAGAGACTACCCCCCACGGTGACTGTCTAACACTTACCACAGGTCTGAGGGAAGTTACAGGTACTTATATCTTTTTATTAGGTTATGATAAAATATTTTCTATAGGATAGAGTATTACTGCAAGGTATGAGCTCAAGTTTATGAACTAATTTATTAATTGTGTAAACTTGTTTATGTTGTGGGTGTGACGTGTGTACAAGAGAAGCTTTAGTTGAGAATTTGGCCAAGCTTGTAGTGAGCTGTAGAGAGAAAGCTGGTAGTGTCTGGAGTTACTCCGTGTTCACACTGGATTGACTGTTGGTGGGTGAGTGAAGGTTGAGCTAGAGAATTTGCTGAATCAGATTTTATATCTAATCAGATTGTGGATACTGTTGGAAGAGTATCACATGTTACACAGGAACTGGTAAGGCATGAGAACACCGCTACCACCAGGAGTTGCTCAACATCATTAATTTTTTCCTAAAGGTGTTCTGTGGTTGATAGTAAGTAATAAAAATTATACAACAATGCAAGTAACCAAACAGAACCTGACCTAACCAACCAAGGAAACCTACCTAACCACTTCCTAGCTGGGAGCAGACCCCCGCCATATTAAACAGAAAGTATATAATTATTATGATATCTGGTACCAATGAAAGCAACTTTGTTAAAGCGTCATGGAGTAATTTAAATTTTTTGTGGGCTTGAGAGTACACTCGGACCGAGTGGGGCAGTTGTAAACAAACAGAGCAGACAACAATGTGCACCGACTTGGCAGATTTTTTGGAGGAGTATTTGCGGTAAATAATTAATTTCCTCGCCTACAAAGCATATAAAAACATAATTTTAGTGTCATATGATCAGTGTTTTACCCTGCAATTTCCCTATTCCTTCATGGCCTGCCCACTACTGATGATTTATGGTATTAGATAGAGAAAAACAAAACAAAAATTACTTATAATTAATATAAAAAGTTGTTTCCTTTTTCAAAATACTTACAATAATGATTAAAACATCTGTAGAGGGAAAAACGATCAAATTCGAGCAACTCCTGTTGGAAGTGCTGTTCACATAAATTACCAAAAATGTTCTGTAGAAGGTGAATTCAGTTGTAGTTGATGACTTGGGGACAACCGTAGCACTAACTGGAGGAAATTTAACTCTAGAAAATAAGAGATTTCTTATCTTGTGAAACAAAAGTGCATGTGAAATATATTTTGCATAATATCACTTTTATGACCTGCCATATTCATCATGTTGATACTATATAAGTTGAACAGTCCTTTGCTTTTTTTTTTCAAATATTAAAGTACAATACGAAGTGTATAACTAATATTTTAGGTTAGGTAGGCTACTTTGGTTCATTTTATGAACTTCGAGAATATTACATTGGCTTGAAATTTTATTTCAGTTGAATCTAGAATTTATCATTTACCATTCAATGAAAAAAATAACTTGGTAAGGGTTCGTTTTACTAACCCCATCGATTTTTATACAAAAACATATTTTTCTGGTGTATTTTGTTCAAATATGACTTTCATTTTCTTGGGAAAATACCCATTTAAGGAAATGACAATTGGTCATTTCTTCCAAAAACTTATATTTTACTGGAAAATGAAGATCAGACAAAAAAAAATCATGTCGACAATTACAGGGGAACCCGTGGGGAATCGGGTTTTTTGGTGGGGGAGTGAAAGAAGGGGACCTAACCTACCTTAGCCACCCTTCGGCACCCATGGCCGAAGGGCAAGAAGGAAAATCTTAATTTTTGTTATTATACTGTGTGTACTTGCCAAACCATTTGTTAACTTTTATGATGATTTTACTGAATAAATATTATAAATACAGCATTGAGGGGTACCTGACTACTGTACCAAGGTGCTGGACTGGAAAGAGGTTAGTGAGCACAATAATTATCTTTTAAGAATCAAAAGGAGATTTAACCACAGTTAATGGTACAGTATGTTGTTGTGAGAAGGATGTGTTTTTGTCTTTCATATTTGAACACTGTATAATTGTATCTGAGTGGCCAGGTTGACTGCTGGTATCATGGTCCAAAATAAGAGACAAAAGAATATTGTCATTTCAGTTTGATTATTGTTTTGCCATAATGCATTAACTCTGCTGGACACTCTTAGGAATAACATTGGACACTGAATTAAAATGAATGTAGTACTGATGCTTCTAAATCATTTTTACATACTGATTATATTACCTCAACAGTGTAATAATGTTGACCCCCAAGTTTGAGGTGCATCAAGATGATGATAATCTCACTGTGAAAATTTTTGCTCCATATTCTCGAATTTCTGATGCTGAGATCAACATTGAAGGAGAGTCATTCATCTTTTATTCATCACCCTATTATTTAAGGTTAGTGTATATGTTGTCTCTGCTACCTATAGTAAGTGTGAAATGGTTGTAAAAATTACAAAATAAAACGTTAACAATATTAAATAGAACATTAGCTCTTAGAAGATGTGATCTTGGGGAGATGAACAGAAAAGATTTATGATAAACGATATTGTTCCCTTGTGTGGAAGCAGTAAGTGAAAGCATTATTATGGAAACTAAACCAATTGTTTCTTCAACCTTAGGTTACCGTTGGTTGCAAATGGTAAAATTCTATCATGCTTTGTCAACACCTTGACATTTAGCTCAGCCTTCATTTTTCTCTCATAGTTCACTGTTTTTTTAATGTATCTCTGAAGAAATACCTGGATAGTTTAGTTTAACCCTTTAGCAGGCATTGGCTCCCCTCAGCTGAATAAAGTCGTCTGGCATTAGCCAAAATAAAATACCGAAGGGATACTTTGCCCTCTAAAGGGTTAAAGTTAGATTAGCTTGTGTTAACATATAGTAAATATTTTAGGAAATCGGGACTGAGATAAATTCTAAGATACAGTAATGCCTTAACCCCAGGGATCACTTAGAGTTTGAGCTCCATCAGTGTTCCCCTAAACCCATAGTGCCTCAGTGTTAGGGACACATTACTTGTGATCTTCCTGTGCCATGGAAGTTGCTACCAGCATTGCCACACTTCACCCAGTAATATCCATTCCTTTATTAGTATTTGTGAGAACATAACAGGCATAATTGGCACAAAAATGACCTAAAACCAATAAGGTAACATACTGTATATTGGTAGCCTATTCTGTATTGTGGATCAAATGTAAGATTAATTTTCTTCATTTACAGTTCTGCCAGATGTTAGTAACAGTGGCACTTTTTATTGTTCTTATGGATTATTTGTTCCTCAGTTTATATAAATTTAACGTTATTTAAAATTAAATCTTATACAGTGATATCCCCTTTAGCCGGAACAATTCATGCAGAGCACTTCCGGGAATGAGAGATTTCCGGGTAACAGAAAAATTTTCTCGAAATTCCAGAAATTGCCCATTACATCACTTCTCAAACCCGGAATAATATCCCTCATCCCTGGAATTTTCCGGGTTATGGAAAAATGTTCTCAAAATTTCCATAAAATGCTCCCGAATTTCATCTCTCAAACCCGGAAAAAACTCCCCCATCCCCAAATTTTTCGGAATTTTCCGAGTATGGGGAAAATTTTCTTGGAATTTTCTAGAAAATGTGCCCCTCGTAAAATCATTCCGGAAAATTCAGGCTTTGGGAATGATTTTCCGAGTAAATTTCAATTCCGGCTATCGTAGAGTTCCGGATTTGAGGGATTCTGGCTAACGGAGATAATACTGTACCTCCTCAGACTCACCCTCTCAGGAAAATTGGTTGACAGTGAACTGGAGAAATACAAGGCAACATTTGATGCTGATCATGGAGCATTTGTTATTGTCTGCCAGAAAGAAACTCGGGGCGAGCACTTTGCTAACTTGGACATGCTTACAACTCTTCTGGCACCACATGGAGCCACTGGGGTGAAAAAACCCATAATTGAAGTGATTGGTGGTAAGTGGAGCTTTCATGTTCAGTTCTTCAAGTACAGTAGAGGTTTGGGTGCCCATTTTTGTATCACATGCTGGGTGAGTCATTGTTGTCTTTTGTATCAGTCACATCATGACAAAAATGATCAACATTATGCCTGTGTCACTTAAAAATTTTTCTCCATAGTATGTTAAACTACTATAACTTTTTATACATGTTAATATGTATTATTATTATTATTGATATCTCTTGAAACCTACAAATGAAGAAGAATCAACTGTAGACGAGGAAGAAGAAGAATTTGATTGGATGTACGAACAAGCGCTACCAGATGAGAACATTGTGACAGCTGGCCACAAGTATGGCTTTGGAAACAACACCACAGGAGTCTTCACTTCTCTCCAGGTTAGGTCATTTTCATACCTTGAATATGCGCTCCACCTATTGTGTAGATTTGTTGGGGAAGGGGGGGGGGTGGTCCCAAACAATACATATACAGGTAACTACTAGGAAACAAACAAAAAAACATCCAAACACTTTCCTGATTTGTTCATGATCCAAAAAACTGGCTGAAGTAAATACCCTGTGGGACACATAATCCTTTAAGATAGTCTCAGAGAATTACATCCAGCACCAAACAGAGTGAATGGATGTAAAGAATTACAATACGTACTTCATAACACTCAATAAAGATATTTTAGTGAGTAGAGTCAGAACCTGCTGTACTTCATTGTTTAAATTTCTTGTTTAATTTTGATACGACTTCATTGCACCAAACAGTACTAATTTTCAGCTTTAAAGGGTTAAACGGGTCTTAAAACCTCCTCTAAACCCAGTTCAGGTTATGTATATCATTGGCGATTTATCACAGAGTGAGCTGAAGGGAGTTGTTGATGTTGATGATCCAGACAATAAGTCAGTGTCCCACAGAAGAGAAGAGAGAATTACACAAGAGTTGAGTTTATTTGATGAAGACCACTACTTGGCTGACTACTTCGACGTTGACACGGCTCAGCAGTGTGTGGAATTTATCCCAGAATTCTACAGCATAACTAGTGATGAAGGTGAGACTGTTTTGACAACCATCAAAATGTCTAGTCTTTAAAACTATAGTTAATACCAGTCAAGATAGAAAAACAATTTCATATAAGGTTAAAGTATCGAAAGAAGATTTAAACTGAAAATATGATTATTTTCCTTGGTGGCAAATAGATATGCTTGAAGGGGAAACTAACAGGGAGATGTATTGTGGAAGAAATACTATAGTGGTGTGTGTAGAAATAGTTCTGTATGAATTGGTGTAGTGTATATTGTATTGTAGTAATGAGATGGTCCATATTCCCATAATACAATGCTTTTTCTCAATACCCATTGCCTTTCCAGTAAGCTGTATCACATTCTCAATTGCATCTTTACAGTGGAGCTCAGCTACCAAGAGAAGGAAGATATGTTAAAATTACCTCGTAAGGATCATCTTTTGGATAAAGGAACAAAGTCCATGGTGTACCTTGGACTCGCTGACATTCTATATGCCTGGTGCTTTAATCATCGAGTCACTCTGGGAGAAAACTGTGTGGAATCTGCATGGAACATTGCCAAATTGAGTTCTACTTTATCGTGGCTTGATGTAAGTATATTTAGTGATGGCAGTCTGTTTGAAGCATCAGATGTATTTTGATGTACAATTCAGGTGAAGTTATATACTGTAATGTCACCACAAGAAATTTAGATGATCGGTTTTGCTTTTACCACATGCAAGAATGAAAAGGAAAGCTTGTAATTAACGTAACTCTTTTTCATTGTATCCAGTCTTTCACACACTTGAAGGATGTTGCTATCAGCAGTGTTCGTCGGTCGCTTGCATTCCCTTTAGTAAGGAATTGGCAGCTGTCTCAAGAGGTTCTAAAAGATACTGCACAGATCCTGACTTTAGGTATGCCCTGGATCTGTTTTTTATACCATAGAAACTATTACAAAAAGGATATAAGCCTTTACTCCTTTCTCCTATAATATTTCTGTATGACTAATTTTACATACAGTTACTTCCAATTACAAATACTGTACTGTATATTACACACTTCAAATTCATTGCATTGTTCAAATGTATTTGGTATTAATTTTGATTTTCTTGCTTCCTCTTACTTTTGAATGTATGAATCACCTTAACTTATGCAAAACCTTCATACTGTAGTAAGTGGTGGAAAAATTCAGTGATGCCAGTCTTGGAATAAGGACCCTTCTCCCATTCTTTCCAGACAAATGGAAAGAATTTATTTTTGGGTCTGGTAAAGGCAGGAGTTTAGAGGTGTACAGCTAGCCCTTGTAATTGATGTTGAGATAGGGTAAGCATTTGGACAGCTCATTCCTGCACTGAGGTCCAGAAGAATGTAGCCCCAGGGGAGAGGTGGAAGCTGCTAGGTTGTAGCCACTGTGAGTAGTTGTCTCAACATACAGCGATGGCTAAGATTTACTTTCAACTCAATGTAGAATTCTTTATGGTTTGTGAAGAACTGTGTAAGATTATTATGACGATCTACAGATGCTTTAGTGATACAGTAAATTCACTCTAATCCAGATTAATTGGGGGAATGCCTGTCAAGTTTGCCTGAAATCCCGGGTTGCAGGGTGAAAAATTCTGAGAGGGTGAGGGATTTCCGAGTCAAACTACCTCAGAATCCCAAACCTACTGTAATTTTTAGCCTTGACTTAATAAAACACTTCACCTTAGTGCTTCTCAGCAACACCTTAGTGCTTCTCAGCAACCACCTCCATCACCTCCTCAAAGGCAGCTGTTGACTTACCCTCATGTGTCGCCAAAGTGGCCTCCCAAGCCTCCGTGAACGTTCCCCTGTACGGGTACTAACTGGATTTTGGTTGTGTTTTCCGGGTTAGGGATACATGTGTCCGGTACTGGACCCCAGTACAGTTTGCAAGGCGATCTGGATTAAGCAAGTTCAGGTTAAAGGAAGTTTACGGTAGTATATCTGAACCAGGCATAGAAATTATAACAGACAATTTAGTTATTGTTTAGGATGTTAGAAGTTCCAAGAGAATATTTAGATGTCAAGAGCTACTTAAAATATAAATCTCTTTTAAGGTCGAAAGAAGGTTCTGCAGTGTCTGTTAGAGATCCAGCGGTTCTTCAACCTCTCAGAACCAAGGTACCTTCTCAACCAATTGTACATCACAGACTACTGTGTTTGGGTACAGAAAGTAAAGGATAACAAGCTAATTAGTCTGGCAGATTCTTTGAAAAAGGTAAGTTATCTGAGAGTTATTAAGTAGTTAAGTGTACTTTTTTTGTACTGTACTGTATAATAATTGACTGTGCATGTAGAGATTAATCAATTTGTTATAAGTGTAATACCTTAAGTATATGATCTTTTAAATGAGGACTTACCATCATCTCAGCATGCATCACACACTACAGTACTTGTTCCAGGATTGAAAGCGTTCCATATTTTGTTTTTTCCAGGCTAGCCAGAATTATGCTATATACCACTTAGAAGTCTGCTGGACATTTTTGGTTACAGTACTGCTCTATCCTTAATTATTTCTGCTTGCCATTTCTTTCTTATTAATAAAACCCATTTTTTACAATAAATTTGAGCTTCACTTATGTGTAAAATACAGCATGGCCTTCAAATTTGCAGGGGTTAGATTCTCAAAATGACCGCAAATCGCCAAATCCGCGAATAACATTTGCTGACCAGTGGGGGGAAGGGGGGGTACATTTTTACTTGTGAACAAAGAAATGTCCCTGTATATTCCCTTTATGAGTTTGCCCTTGGGACAATTATTTATTTTACCTGTACTGTATTGTATATGTGTTTGTGTGTGTAGACACACACACACACATATATACAATACAGGTAAAGGAAATTACTGTCTCTAGAACGAATGGTTCCCTGTCCTGGCCACGAAAATGACGGCAACTTTAAAATTACCCACAGACATTCTTGGGTACATCCTGGGTGTCATCCATGAATAATAGAGGACCGCAAAATAAAATTCCACGAATTATCCGGGTGCACTGTACATCTATGCACAGCAAGGTGCTCTCACATTATTTACGCACTTAAATTTCATTGAGCACTCACGGGACAGCTGTTTACTTCTACATTAACGAAACTGTTGGGTAGAATTTTTTTTTTTGGTCAATGAATATGAAGAATAATAAGATTCTCAGTCTGCAAATGCATCTTACACCTCACTGAATGATTGCAGGTTTGTTTCTTTACCAAATTGGGTCTCCTCTTTGCACACTAACCCCTATGCACTCGGCACTGCATATCAGGAGAAGGCTTGTCTGTATGGGGTAATATATGTTTGTATTGTAGATAAAAGTGATATATGTACAGCATATGGAAATTTTAAAAAATTGGTCTTATTATATTTGTATCCCATGTTTTTCATCTGACATTATCAATGCATGACAAGTTTCTTGGATATTTTATTTTTACAATAAGGCTTCAGAAGTGTAAAGTACTCAACTTACTTTAAAATCATCTCGCAAACATAATGAGAACACAAAAGGCTCGAGTAACATCATTAACATCTACTAATCGTCAAACAAACAATTACCATTTTATGATAAACATCCTCAGAAGCAAATTTGCTCTGGTAAGATGAAATTTCCAGCACATGACTTCATGGCTCATGAACATTTGTACCATTCTCTGAAAACTGACTACTGTACTTTATTAAGTACATCATTTAACCATATAGTACAATACTGGGCAAACTTTTTTGGAGTGAACATTTTTAACTCTTAGAACAACCTGCCAGAGAGTGTTGTGATGGCACTAAGTGTGAGCTCTTTCAAGACCAGACTTGACCAACACTGGATCAGGTTCAGATACATTCAGGAGCCAGTGCATGCCCAGTACTTGCCAACAGTGCATAGCAGAGACGTGACCAACTGCCCAAGCGGCTAACGAGCCGATCAATGGCAAAGAGGACAAAAGTGAAAAGTAAAACTAAGATCTTTTGATCATTTTGTATTTAGTTCCTGCATTTTCAGTATTTTGCTTTGAAACATAATATACTGTACTGTAATTTTACATGCATATTAATGTACTGCACAGATGCCCATAAAACATTGTAATTATTTTAAATCCACTTTCCAGCTGCATTTACCCTAAAGGTAAATAGATTGTGTAATTCATTCCTCCTTACATTGTCCAGCGAATTCCTTGCCACCTTTATTTATATGTTGCATGCAGGATGGAGGTACACTCGAGTCATTAGAATGAATATGAGTCACTTTTCACACACTTGCTCTGAAATTTACCACCTTTGTGCTGCATGTGCCTCAATAGGTTAATAATATATGTGTTCCACTTCTCCAACACTTTTCTGTATTTTGCTTTGAATCTGTGATTATACCTGTGCATGTGGTATTATGCTGATAGATTAACTTTTATAATCTGGTGTCATTCTAAGGAGCGTCATGGTTTTGCCCATCAAATCTATAAGTTGCATCCCAAGTGAACCCCTGGCATTGACAATTTGCACCAATTTAAACAATTTGTGCAACTCCTCCTTTGCAACTGTAGCTCACGGAGAGGTCAGGTTGGCAGAGGTTTACCACTTGAGGCTCAAGAGTTAAGTGAGTCTTGGTGTTAAAGCAGCTTGTGCTCACAGATCATACTGGATATCCAGCACCAGGCCTTGGTCAATTTTACTCACTTGAAGTAAGTTGCCCTCTGGGTAGCTCTTCAAAATAGAGCCAAGATGTTCTTACATCCCATATTTAGCACTTGGAAATATATATATACTGGGTGTCCACGAATTATCTAAACCCATGGATATAAATCTCTCTCATAGGATTTTTCATAAAAGCTCCAATGGAATTCTACTTGAAGAACTGTTCAGTTAGACTTCATATACTATCACATAGTACAGTATTTAAAATTAGAGATTGACAGTTGCTACTCTGTCCCTCAGCTGAAAGTGACAAAGAGTGACATGTGCCTTGACTTAGAAGATCTGGAAGCTGCTGCTCACCTCGTCTTAGAAGAGGAAGAGGAGAATGTCTTATCACCCGAGGAAAATATCAACAACGTAGTCACAGACTTATCTGGGTTGACTATTATAGAAAATGGGGCAGCTTTAGGGGAAAATGACAATGAGGAGGCTGTTGTAGAGGATGCTGTCATCACCTCAACAAGGGAAGGCCTATCCCACTTAAGTGACAGTGATTCCTCCAGCAGTGAGAGTGATAGTGAAGATGACAGTGATGAGGAATCTGACAGTAGTGATTCTAGTGATGATGACTCCAGTGATGATGATGATTCCGAAAGAGAAGATTCATCTTCAGATTCTTCAGAATTAGACTCTGATGATGATACATTGTCAGAGAATGATGAAGAATAAATTTAATTGAAATTGTAGTAGATCTGAGAGTTAATTTACAGTACAGGTACCTCATTTTCATGAACTATTTTATATATTTATGTGCAATAAAACATTAGAATGTCAGCTTTTCTGGTACAGATTAGTAATAGTGCTCAATAGTACTCAAACAAAACAGGAACTTCTGTGCAATATGAAGGCAATTGTTTTTCAACTCTGCATCATATTTTATCTATAGCCTTTTGTTGATCCAAGGAGACTCCTGTGAAGTATCCATGAAGTCTTTTGGATAGAAACCTGGGCTGACCCTCAACATGATGACATACTAATCAAATACTAATTATTACAACTCTCCCTTCAAAACCATATCCCACAATGGAGTGAAGTTGTACTTACACCCTAAATACTGTACATATATAGCAAGGAAAGTGCTGTATGGCCGTACCACTCAACTCCTGGATTATTAGCTTAGTTATATGAATTCCAGCCTTTATGTTTATTGCAAGAGTTATTTCAGCTGTGTTAGTGATCCACTTGTCAGTTCAGCCAGCAGTTATTTGTGGGTCTGACCTTGGTACAGTACCACACCGTGACAAAGGTCTGACCTGTTGTCACAATAAAAATAACTTTGCCTATTCTTTGGGGAAAGTTTTGTTAACCAGATGGGTATCTATTGAATGGGATGGGAATATCTGGTTTGAGGCCTAACAGAGAGTAATATGAAACTCTTTATCAAGTACTAACAAAATTATCCGACTTTGCATGGGTTAGGTATACAGTATACTGTACAATCTTGACTCACAGGTTGCCCTTCCTGACATGGGTAACTACATCCTGCAGTCACCGTAGCAATATCTCAGTTTGGGATGATTTTTGGTTCTTGTATGTAAAGTTTCAGGTCTTTAACTTGTTCCATTTAGGAGCTATGGTTGGGACAGACCGACACACTCACGGGCAGACATGTCACTTTATTATTGTAGATATAGGATGGGGATTGACTCTGGGATTCTCATAGTGACAGAACTACACATAATATTCAGTGCCCAACAGTTACTGAATGCATGTCTGTTCTTCACAGTGGTACCGTATGTGTTTTTGATAACCATAAGCTTGAACCAATACCACAAGATTGAGTTATGGCCTCCAACAGAGTGTTTTAGCCAGTACTGCATGTTCATATTATTCATTACACATTCCAAGGGTTTTCTCCAGGCAATGCACCCCCAGAGGGAAATATTTAAAGACAAGACTAGTTAAGAACTGATTTTCTCAGAGCTCTATTTTCATTATTTCATAGACTACCCAGTATCTAACTGTTTCTCTTGCTAAAGTGGCAGTCAGTGATCTAGGTGTTATTTTTGTTCATCTGTTGCAGGGTGCAGGGTATTGTGTAGCTGATAGTGTGATGGGTTATTCCATGTTTAGAACAACTATATTTTGTGTCCTTTTCATGATATTTAATGTGATGGACTGTTGTGATCCTACACATTATCAAGCTAGTGAGGGGGTTTTAGCTTTTATTCTGCTTTAATGAAGAAGATTTACTGCTATCTCCATTTTTTAGAGAACATCTTTGTTCCCAAGTGTTTGGGCTTTGGTTCAGAAGTGACAAGATGTAGCTGCTTTACTCAGTCATGAAGTATGTGGGGAATATTTTTTCCTTTGGTCTTAGGACAAGCTAATCAGTCAGGTAATTGCTCAGCTGGTGGGTAGACCTCCACCTCAGGTTCAGATGTGGTCACTTCAGTCTCAAGTTAAGGTTGACAAGTCAGTGTCCAAAGAAATTAAGATACTTAACATATGACTTGTTGCTTCCTGTGTGCTGTATATAATTTAACCTTTATTTACACTCAACATTATTACAATATAGCCTTGGCAAGTGGACTCGTTAGAATATTTTTTGATGGTGCTTTCTTCATATGAGGCTGATCAGTCTTCTTGAGGAATTAATCAAGCCTGATAATAATCACCTCTCACTTGAATTAAATGCGAGAAGTTCCAGTTAGAGAGTGATGCACAAATCTATGATTGATTATGGTATTTATAAAGCCATTGAATCTATACTTCATTAGCAGTAGGTTGAGGTACTGTAAGTGTCCCATTGTTTTTGGAGTGTATCATACAGAGGCAGCTGATGTTTATACAAGGATATGATAGCAGGATTTTCTAGTTTGGGTACATAGCTCATGTTACAACCAACAAATACTGGTATACATTGGCTGTGTTGGAAAGTGTCTGATCATGTAAACTGAATTGTTTTATATAACATACTGTGTTGACTTTACAAAGTTTACTTTTTTTTTACTTTATTTACCATATGTTCATAGTATTTGAATCAATGAATTGTGTTCATAAAGAATAAGAGATCATTAGTGTTGAATTTGACTAACTATTAGAACACTAATGTATCTTGTCCCTTAAGAATGGGGTCTTGACTAAAAGTACAGTTGTGACCAGAATTTTGTGGTCAAACTGAGGTAGAGGGTATGGAGCCCATCCCACCCTTATTGGATTGCGAGTTACTGTCTAGAACCCCTCCAACACACAAAGTGTAATTTAATAATTGGTTTGTAAAGGTTTTAAATCTGTAGAAGGACTTAAGCTAAACATAAGAGTATTATTGGTGGGGGATGAGTCTGGTGATGGAATAATAAAAAAATAATAATAATCATACAGCTGATGGTGTCCACATATCTCAACACTCAACCACTCCTCATACATCCGGACACACGTGGGGTTGTGTGCGTCTGTGTTTATGCGTCCATGTCAGTGAATCTCTGGAGAGATCAACAGTGAGTGAACAGTGCTTTTTATAAATAAATATCATTCACATATAACTGTTTCATTGTCTTCAGCCATTGCTTTTAGCAATACAGTGTCAAGAAGACTGGGAATCTTGGCCAAGTATAGTGATGCGGAAGTTGGTAAATAATAAGTGTGGGTCGTGATGCATTTAACTTATTCTCTACACAGTTATTCATTCCTTATGTGAGACACTAATGCTTCCCCAGGTCATTGAGGTCACTTTTTTAATTTCTTCTGATCCACTTCATAATGGTTGTGCAGTGTGATAGCTTGTGTGGAGAGGCCTTGTTCATGGAGGGTGATAACGTGACCTTGGAGCAGCAACCTTTCATCTTTCTTGATTCATAATGGTTCGGTGAAGCTTTTGACCACTCTCGGTTATGGCAGTGACAACAACACTTCTGTTGACGTAACACTTTATGGTCTAACGACTATTGCCCCCTCCCATCAAAACACACACACACACACACACACACAACCCCACATGTATCAATGTGTAGGAGAGGGGGGGGTTGAGTGTTGAGCTGTGTAGACACAATCAGCTGTATAATTACTTTTTGTTTCTATTACCCCATCACCAGACTCCTCCCCAACAGTAATATTATGTTTACTTAAATCCTTCTACAGAGGTAAAGCTGTTATAAGCCAATAATTAAATTACACTGGTACTAGTTTGTGTGTTGGGGGCATCTAGACAGTGACTCCAGTAAGGGTGGGGGAACAGGCTCCATACCCTCCACCTCAGATGGACCACAAACTTCTAGCCACAACTGTTCATATACCCCAGTCTGGTAAAAAACTGCACATGGATTGTTCATAATTGAAATATAACAATGGATCTCATTTTTATGTGCATCTGTAATCATTGTTGTTTTACATTAAAAGGTCTACCATTCTGAATTAATCCTGGATCACCTATATGTTATTGATTTAATCCAAAATTTTAGGAGCTTCAGATGTCTGTACTTAACCCTTGTAAGTAGAGTGCAGTTGATAATACAGCTGTAGTTGTTTTAATGGTTTAAATATAAGTATCAAGTAACTTGGGACATTATATATATATATATATATATATATATATATATATATATATATATATATATATATATATATATATATATATATATATATATATATATATATATATATATATATATATATATATATATATTGTGGTGTAGTGTAATAATATTCTCCATTTTAGTAAACAAAAAATTGCAAAACAACTATTTTGGGGGCACAGCAACATTTTCATTATTTTATACTTTTATTTAGTAACTAGTTTCCTTAAAAGTGCACTGGTTTTATGTAAAAATGCTAACATGTTTAATATTGTTTCCAAAAAATTTGTAGAGCTGCAACTCTTAAGCAAGAGGAATTTTCTGAGTTAGGGCTTTGACAAGATAGAATAACATTGTAAGATTTTTCTTAGTGGATGCTGAACTGTATTTGCAGTCCAGTGACTGACTTAGTCAAATGTGACCAATTTGCAAAAAACATCAGTATGCTATAAGTCTCTACACTTGAACTTTGCAATTGAGGCCTTGGGTCAGTTTGTAGCAAGGCAGCCTATTGACTGGTGGATAGGCAAGTGAAGAGTCACTACAGCGCTTTATTATTTAATCTAATGTTTTTATATTCTGATATTTTAAGGGATAATATCTATTTTATGTTGATCTCTTATAATTCCTGCATTTGAGGAAGCAAAAATTAGCATGTGAAATCCACTGGTAATAAAAATATCAAAAAGAATACAAACATGAAGAACAAGTTTAGCTACATAAACTCCCCCACTCCATGTGACATCACATGGAGGAGGATGTTGAAAATTTGTACTTTTTTCCCTGTTCTTTTTATATTTGTATTACCAGTGGATTTCACATGCTAATTTTTGCTTCCTCAAATGCAGGAATTATAAGAGATCAACATAAAATAGATATTATCCCTTAAAATATCAGAATATAAAAACATTAGATTAAATAATAAAGAGCTGTAGTGACTCTTCACTTGCCTATCCACCAGTCAATAGGCTGCCTTGCTACAAACTGACCCAAGGCCTCAATTGCAAAGTTCAAGTGTAGAGACTATAGTTGGTGACTGTCTTCCTTACTAATTTCTCACTTGTCATGCTCTTCATATATCCATACCATCTTAATGCACATTCATCCACATGGGTCTCCAGGGACTTTTCAGCTCGGATTATTCTTCATGTCTTCATTCTTAATCCTGTCAGTCATCCAAACATTCATAAAACTTCTCAGGTTATCTATTTCTACTGTTCACATTCATGGGTCTGTCACTAGTCTCAAACACCAGGTTTACAGCCATGCCTAAGAGTTTGTTCAATAGTTCCATCATGTAGTGTTCTTTGTTTAAGTTCTCTGGAAACCTTAACTGCCACACTGCTCCCTAGTGTAAGGGCCCAAGAAATTTGTTTGCTTTTGGTTTATTTTAGATTCATACTGTTTTTTTTCCACCAGTGGAGGGGAGGAGAGTGAATCAGTTTACAGGGGTTACATACAATATGTGATGCTAATTTTGAAAACTATGTTCATGTTATATCAGAAATGGTTAGCATTAGATCTGAATCTGCCTCTGCCTCTGCATTTCTTAAGACAGTGTAAAAGATGTTTGGCGTATGATGAAAATGCTGATTTCCTACGATTTAAATCGTGATTGACAATGATAAACAATAAAGATTGGCAACTCTTCTGAGTTCAGATATGATGAGCCAGTTTTAAAATAATTTTATAACAAGTATACTGTAGTGCCCTATGAGATTGTAAATATATGATTGAGGTTAAACTGATGGCCTTATGTTTTGAGCATTTCTGTAGTACCTGTATAACAACTATAGTCATCTATTCAGACATATATGGGTCCATCAACTTTAGAAAGACAAGGATCTCCAAAATATGATATCGATGATGATAATCAAAGCAAAAAGACCTCGAGAGCAATCAAGTTCCCTTTGGAAAATGTCATCTCCCCTTCACCTGATAGTAGAAAACAAGGTTTCTGGTTATAGCTTCAGTTTGCCACTTTGGTGAGCTGGATTTGATGTGGTGAACCTTGTATATCATTTTTGCCTGATGTTACACGTAGAAGCACATCTCAGTACAGAAGCTCCTGGTCAACAGCAAAAACATATCAGTTTTCTTTATAGGTGCTGTCATGCCCAGGGTTATCCTTGGGGGTCCAGTATGAAAGTGAAGGAAGATCTTGTACATGTAGAGTTGATGTATCTCGATATGGTTTGAATGACAGATACATTATGCTCAGAACATAAGATGATTCTGTTGTGGAGTTTGTGCTTATACCAAAGCCATCCTCTCACCTCTGATTAGAAAATGGATTTTCAAGAGCAACTCTTCATATATTGCTGCATGAGGTGGCCCCTGGCTCAAAATTAATGTCATAAAAAATTCATAGGAATCTGGTGCACTCAAATTTACTAAACAAAATTAAGATTTATAATTGTAGTATTTAAGGTCTCAACATTTTCTTCTTTATACTGGTCATGTAATTTCAATCATTTCCTTCTTCCATCTTTATAAAGTCTATACAATAAATATTATAATGGGAAAATTTTGTACTGTAAAACCTCACTACTTTGAACTATATTGGGAGAAGGATAGGTAGAACTAACTGAAAATTTGAATTAAAGGGGTAAAATTCTTATGTGGCCAATCGTGTCAGTTTATGTATACTCAACGAGAAAGGTAAGCTGGATAATCATTGAAGAGGCCAACTCATTAAGATGACAGATCTTGATTTGTATTTACAGTGTTGAAAAAACATTGGTAAAATGTTCAAAATAAGGCTGCTGAGGTTTTACACCCACCACTGCGTTAAACAGAGGCTTGGCTGGAAATACTAAGTGTGGATGGAAGCGACACATGCTAATTGTATCTTAGGAGAGATTTCAGAGTAGACTATCTGGCCTAATTAGACCTTAGTAGGAGTTAGCTTGGAATTGTCAACTTTTAATTTTCTCAATTTAGTGAGGTTTTAATAAATTATCAGAGGGTGGCATTAACATACTGTACTGTGCTTCTCATTGTTGCTCACACTACAGTACTACATTGGTTTTGTAATTTTTGTAAGTGGCAAGTTGTTGAATAATTACATAATTATACAGTTTATCCACATTCCAAAACAATGTTAATATATTTACAAGAAGCATTAGTTATGCTGTCCAGTTGTGTACTGTAATCTTTGTAACAAAATTTAGTCTCACATAACATTTTAAGAAATTTACATATAAAACTTTTATATACTCAGGAATTGACCATGGATTGTATTTAAACTTAACTTTGTCATATCAGTATTTACCAAATATTTGTGAATTTAACCAGTAAGCAGCAGCAAAGACTATGTGGTCAGTACTGCTGCTCAGTGATCTGTGTATGATGTATTTGTCTAGGAATACTTATTACTAGACCAATCACGTATTTATTTGTATTATACAGTTATAGTTACATTATGATTGGGCAGTCATGCAAAGTTGGAAAGTTATGCAAAAACAGTGTTTTCATATTTACTCTTTTCTTGTAAATGTGAATCCAAACTCATGTTCAAGAACTTCAGTATTAAAATCAAAAGGCTTCCCTTACTGCTTAACAATTTTACAATAAAGATTTTAGTATTTTTTATTAATTTTTTTAATTCCTGTTTAATCCTTTCAGTCAAGAGTACATATCTTGTATGTCTTAACAGCAAGCAGTTCACTAGAGAATGTATGTAAATATGTTTTTAAATTTCAGGAATAGTGTAATTGTTTTTAAAATTTCAAATGTGCTGTATAGGTATCCCTCGGTTAGCATCAATTTACTTTAACGCTAAAAAAAAAATTAACACCCTTTTCTCACTTAATGTTAGGTCAAAATACGATTTAGCAATAGCTTGACTCACTGGGAAGTGGGGAAACCTGGGGATTCTGTGTTCCAATTGCACATCTCTACTGTCACTTATCTGTTTACTCTATCCGCATGCCACCTATCCACCCATGCCATGTACAGTACTAGGTGTTTACTACCATTTGTATCTATTGCTCGCATTCCATTCTTCACCATTATCCCTGTATACAGTATTGCTATGTATCGTTGTTATTGCTGTTATCATTGTGACTTTTATGGGTTAAGTATTGAGTACTGTACGGACTTTTTATTTATAGTAATGTGACTATTGTGGAAAGTGAGTGAACTTTGAATAATGTCAGGTAAGGTTGCTGCTGTTTCATCAGGTAAAGTCAAGCTCTCCCCTGCAAGTCCTTAAGCAGAAGGTTTGTCAGTCATCCATCACCAACTTCTTCAAGACGAAGCCAGAGCCGACGGCACCACAGTTATCACTCTCGGACCCAGCACTTTCCACCTCAGGCTGAAAGCTCTCACCCTGCCAACCATCCAAGACAGTGCTTGTCTGGACTCTCCAGCCTCCTTTTCTGATGCAGAGAGTGAGTGATGTGCCAGCCCTTAGCAAAAGTAGTCATCCAGCCTTGGAGAGGACACATGATGACGACTTTGCTTCTGACGTGGACTTGTAAGTACAGTATTACTTTACTGTAGTGTACTGTAATTTATTATTACTGTACCTGTACAACAATTTATTGTCAAAGACTGTATTTAGGTGAAAAAATCCCCAAAGACCAAATCTCCATGTTACTTATCCCCCGTTTTGCGATAATTTTGCTAAACGTTGGGTTTCTCAAGAACGTAGCCCCATTGTTGAATGAGGGATACTTGTAATTATTTCAAGTCATATCATTATCAAGACATTATTAGATTTTTTTTTTGTTTAACCCAAATCCTTAACTGTTCACGTGAACCTTTCTATAAACTTTGAACAAAATCTATATTTTAGCAGCTTGACCTGAAACGTTGGGTAAATAGGGCAGGCGTAATTCAAGCTTTATCTGTATTTTATTCAACATTCTTTTATCACTTTTCTACTTTATAAATTGAAACTTCATACTGGTCGATGTATGCAATAATAAGTTGTGAGTTACACTTCCACGTTTACAGTACTGAAAGTGGAGTTGTTTCCGATCACTTCAGCCGATGATTTTTTCTTTTTGTATATGCTGATTGCGTCCAAGTCTTCCCCCAATTCCTACCTTAGGTATTATTTGCTCGCAGGCAGGGGTGTCATAGTTGCAAGCCACTCTTTGGTTCTCAGCGAATACATAAGAAAGCCATGTTACTGTCTTCTTTTTTACATGATATACATATCTATATCTTCCTATGAATATATTCCCACATTATACATCCTCACTATCTTTGGCAGGCTTTCTGTCTTAAACTGTTCAGTGTTTTTAGTAGTTCAGTAGAGTATGGTAATCCTTGAAACAAAGCTCTTTGCAGAGAGACACTTGACAGTCTGTAGAGGTAACAAGTTTCCCTCCTTTTCCTTGCATACCTTGATGAGTGATAGCACACATGACATTATCGCTGGGGTGACTTCCTCCCTGATGTTGATGGCAGAGACCGAGGGAAGTGGCGTTTTGTCAGGCAGAGTGGATTGTCATAAGCTAGAGCCCATGGAGGACCTGAACAGCAGCATTCTCGGCACTTGGCCTCCAACTGCTCCCTCGCCACCTCAATGATGAAGTCCTCAAGGGTCTCCTTCCTGCCTGTCACCTGACGATGGAAGATGTGGGCGTTAAACATCGTCATATTGAGAAGAGCTTCTTGTACCATTTCATCCGAGCCTTTCATCATCTTTCGGGCACACATTACTGACGAGACCATGACATCCGAATTATCAACAAGTTTCATATTGAGGTTGTATTTAATGTTGGCACGAGGCTTGTAGATCCTTTCTTGTGTAGTTCAATCAACTTTGTTGGTGGGCAATATTTGAGGATGGTGGAAGGTGGTGAGCATGTTCACATCCCTCTTATCCTGCCAGGAGAGTGCAAGGACTGTCATAAGTAGACCACCTGATCTTGTTAAATGTGTGCAAGAAAAGTGGGCATGTTCCTCCTGTTTCTCCTAACGGTGCCACAGGCATAGACTTGATCATACAGCCACCGAAACAGGGCAGGACTGGAGTACCACATCGAGGTACAACTAATGAAATTTTCCCGGGTATGGCTCCATCATGGTTTGCACGATAGCTCCTAATAGGCCCATGTGTCAATCGTCCACCAGTTGAGTTGATCTGGCTTTGTATGATAAGATCATGTCTTCAATGCTCAATGTACCCAGTCTTACAATCACATAGGACAAATAGCTCGAGTCCAAAGCAATGGTGTTTACTGGAGATGTTGCCCCCACACAGTACCAGACTTTAGTTGATCACCAGCATGCAATGTGGCTTGAAGGAGGTGGAGAATTTCTACCTCAGGTGGTCAAAGACATCCCTTATCTTTTCATGGGGTCGTCATTCTGAGTGTTGTATGGTTATCCAGGAAATGCAGGGTTCCCATAATGTTAACAAAACTGTTTAGTTCCATCACATTAAAGAATAAGGGCATATTCAACATGGGGTCTGAACACCAATACCTCTTGCATGTTTTCTTCATCACTCCCATCATTATAAGAGGAGCCTGGAATGTAAACATTTCTTGTATCGTCAGGTCTTTCTATGTAATTTTCCTTGATGGAGGGCCAAACACCCTCCCTACCCGTGAAAAATAATTATAACGGTTTCTTTCATTCACAATAAAGGTCATCAGCTCCTTGATGACGAAATTCATGAAGAATTCACTCCTGCTGGTGGCAGTCAGCCCAACGACAGTGCATCCTGACTCTGTCATCAAAGGGACTACAGAAGACGGGAACATCATCTAGTATCAGAAAGGCTTGGTGGTGGGCCATCTCCTCCAGGAACAGCATGTCCCCAAGATCCTTGTCATGGTGCATACCCTCTTGCTCTTCCATGAGCACAGTTTGGTGGTGGTAATAATGATGGGATGCGGTGGTTGGTGGCAAGAGGGATGGGTAGTGGTGTGGGTTTAAATAGGCTGACTCGGGTGCATGGGTGGCAGTCACATGTGAGGGTAACGACTCGTCCCCATTCTTTCTCTGCACACTTCCATTTCCCCATTCTCCCTGTACTTGTTGAAAGTTCCAGAGAGGCTGGAGGGATTGATGAAAGCCCTGGATGTGATGGAGGATGGTGGTGTCTAAGGGTGGTGAAGAATGGTGGTAATGATGTTCACTGCTCCTACCCCCTTCCCCCTTTGAACAAAATCTATATTTTGGCCAGTTGACAGATTTTTTCTGGAAAGTGAAAACTACCATGTTTATTGGGTAAATTTACTCTTTATTACTGAAAAGAATTGTATAAATAACCCCCCCCCCATTCTGACCTGTTACCCAGTATCCCTGGGTGAAATCACCCCCACAAAGGAAAAAATTATACATATAACTAACTAGCAATATAACTTTATTTCAAAAAAGGCTACAAACATAAAATACAGCAACTTTGTTTACTTAATGCACGAGCTGAGCACTATAGGAGGTATATAAATAAGAATCACTTTATTTTTTTTCAATTTTGACCTTATAAATATATTTACAGTATATATACAAGTTTAATGTAGCTTTCTACATCTTCTCGTTACGCTGGAAGGGTGATGGCAGGATGGCACCAACCCAGCAGCCACCTGCATATTGAATCACACGAAAGCGCTTGGGAACTTTGTATTTTCTTTGTTTCCTATGTGGTTATCAGCATATACATGGATCATGCACACCTACAGTGATCGATATATATATACAGTATATATATATATATATTCATTTTTGTTTATTTGCCATTCATATTTCAATATAATTTGCTTTAAAACATTAACCACTTTAGTAAATAAATATGAACCAGCACAGAAACCGTGAATAAAAAATGGAAGTCAAAGAACATATGGCATGATTCTAAGAATCAGCCTGTTAGGATAATGGAACTGGAGTTAGGGAGGGAAAAGTTGGAAGTAGAGAGGGGAAAGTTGGAAGCAAATAGAGAGAAAAGAGCTCATGAGTTGCTTATGAAAGAAAAGAAAAGGGACGCAAAATTAGAGGAGCAAAAATTTCAGCTTGAATTAGAAAAGAAAGCCCAGCATAGAGCAAGAAGACATTTGAATAATGAAATTATGAACCCCATTGTTTTATGTCTAAACAATCAAGGTTAGTTCCTAGGTTTGATGAATATGATCCTGAAGAATTTTTCTTACAATTTTAAAAGATTGTTTAGTTGTTAGAGTGGCCTAACGAGTATTGGCCTGTATTACTACAGTCAGTGTTGAGTGGAAAAGCTAGGTCAGCCTTTAAAGCACTGGAAGTGGCACAAAGTAAAGACTATAAGTAGGAAACTATACTTAAAGCTTACCAACTGACCTCTGAATTTTATAGACAGCAGTGAGGAAACAAGATAATGAAAGCGATATTGAACTAGCATATAAGGTTAGGAAGTTTGGGCTGAGATGGTTTAAGGCTGCCTGAGCTGTGTCTCGTGAAACATTAGTAGAATTAATATTACTGAAGCAGTTTAAGAGGGCAGTAACATTGGATATTTGGGTATACTTGGAGGAGAGAGATGTAGAGTGTTTGACTCAGGCTGCTGCCGTATCCGAAAATTACTCTTTTTACCTCATCGAGGTTTTTTCGCAGGTCCCAGGCTCACACTGTACCGAGTAGAGGGGTGACTTAGTGTAAGGGTGGTAAGTCTGGTGGAGTCCGTGTGTCAGGCCCAGCTCCATATGGCCCTGTTGAAAGGACTGGAAGTGGTGCCTCATCCATGTCTAGGTCTTCTGGAGTCTCTGGTGAGGAAGGACGGGTGTTACTATTAGCCTTGTCAATAATTACCCCTTAGTCTGTACTCACCCCTGAAAATGTGAATTACATGAAGTTCCCAAGCGCTTTCGTGTAATTTGCATCTTCAGGGGTGTGAATTACACAAGTGCTTGGGAACTTCATGTTTTCTTGATTCCTATGTGGTTATCAGCATATACCTAGATCACGGAGCACCTTAGCTTTCGTCTTTATTCAGGATATTTACCTTTCAGACGATGCAATCAAAGGAGACAGGACAGTAGTGGGTCCTACACACAGGTCCGACGACACTGCTTGCAGACTGACTTGGAGGTGTTTTCCTCCCTCTTGCTTCTCTTGCCCAAAACACACCTTTTATCCTTTTCAAGCTTATCACCAGCAGGACGGGCAGGTGTGTTTATACTGAAGCACCTGAAGATGATGGCGATTGTAGGTGTCCATCCCTGCCACACCCATTTGGTGTATAGCCCACTGCTAGAAACATAAAATACAGGAACTATGTTTACTTAAGATACAAACTGAGCAATATAGGAGGTACTGTATATAAGTATGAATGGAATTAATATGAAGAAGAAAAAAATTGCAATTTCGACACCTCCCAGCAGCAGCAGCCACCTCAAGCCAGAAAATTGAGTCAAATGAAAAAAAAAAGTTTTTTTTTGGGGATTTGGGTCCTTCTGAAATCACACTTTCTGAAAATAAAATTACAGAAAAAATTACTATACAAAACTCATAATTTCCAACTGCACATGAAAGAAGCAATCGTTGTCCATCTAATGAGTTACTAGGTATCAAAGTCACAGTTTGTCCCCCCCACCCTTTATCAAAGTCAATTTTGGTAAGCGTACCATGAACAGCATGCTTGGGGGGATTTACCCCCCAAGTATGCCTACCACAGCAAGAAGAAACCAGACTGAAAGGTGAAGCATCACTTCCCCACAGGCTCATCAGAGACACTGATAGCCTCACTCTTTCCCAGCTTACTTCTAGACAGAACAAACAGTTGCCAATTAACACTATAAAATGCCAGTTTTTGCTTGGGGGTATTAACCACATTTTAAATACTTTTAAGTCTTTAATTATTATGAGGCTAATTACTTTTAATTGCGCAAATTCTGAACCCAGATCCTTAACGAGCAGGTGGCAGAGTACCTTTGATTGAAATTTATGCACAATCTACATTTTTACCTAATATGCCAAAATACAAGTTAATAGGTCAGTAGTCTTTTTTCCAACAAAATGAGTTTGGGGGAAGAGTGAAAACTAACACATTTAACCCCTGCGCTTCAGGTCACGCCATATGAAGTTTTGATTTTCCGCGGGCCTATTTAAATAAAAAATGTACCAGACTAGCTCAGAATTATGGGATAAACTCTTCTCTCCCATGCGGTGAAATGTAGACTTCATATGCTGCCACCTACAATGCCTCGGTACCCATTTCGTCATGAGATGGAGAGGTCACACTCGTCCCAGCTCAGCACGTCCAGCCCCTAGGAAAAGGGTGCTAGAGGTCCAACTGAGGAACAATGACAGCAGGAATTAATTGAAGTGAGTCAAATACCGGAGACATCGTATGGGAGGAGAGCGATGTGGAGGAGGGAATAGATGCGGATGATGCTCCCTCACCACGTGTTGGAGGCATGGACACATTTGCTTGGAGAGATGCTGCCAATTTTCAACCTAATATCCCTGACTTTGACCAGACTGATGCTGGAATTACTGATGATTTCAACGTGGATGATGCTTGTGAACTAGATTACATTACAGGTATGCTCAGAAAACCAAAGATTACATATTGGGGAAATACCTCGCAAGTGGCGTGGTGCAAACTGTTACCACAAGAGGGCTCTGTGTGCTGCCTCTCACTCATTCCCACCTCTGCACTTGTTTACACTTACCATGTGTCTCCGACTTCATGTGTTATGCAATCATTCCTAAATGCCCCAGTGGTAGTTCCTCTTGTTGCCCCCCCCCCCTTTTTGATGTGATGTGATAAGTCATAATAATAAGAGTGGTGATGGACCAGCAAAGATTGGTAGAGACTTGAACTTGCTACCCTAGACCATCTCTTATCATCCTTAACACAGGTAAATAAATCTCAAATTATGCCTACATTCCTCATTTAATGCTTCTTATGGTTGTTTTATATGTCTGCCTTATTTTCTTGCTTGATAGTGTGCACGACAGTGATATATCAAGAGTAGATGTGAGTTTTGGGGGTGGCTAGTCCCTAACCTCCCGAATTTGTTATATTCTTATGGGATTAAGTGCTTCGATAATCGTTGATTCACTAACTAACAACTTTTCAGTCCCTATATGCATTGGTGTTGGGGTATACCTACAGAGTACCACTTGTATATGTATTCTCATTAGATACTGACAAACTATTTTCTGTTGTAATTCTATGATTTATGCACTCAAAGGGTTATAACTGTTCAAACCAACCCTTGTTAGTACCAAACTTTTCGCCTTCTTCTGAATCATGATCATACTCAGATACACTGCACTGGTTTTCATCATCAATCTGTGTAACCAAGAGTTTTCCATCTGTTGCGGGAGGCCAGTTATAGTAGACTAAAACCTCACCATACAGGATGTTACATTCCTGGAAAAACTGTAGACAGAAGTAATGGACCAAAAGGAAAAATGTGGTTATACTCCTGGCTGACAAAATGAACCCCCTAACTTTTCCTGCAACTTGCCATGCTTCACACTGCATAACCTGAACAAATTTATTAATAACATAGGTAAAAATTCTTGACTGACAAGAACAAACTTACTCTGTAACACATAGAGTAAGCATGTTAAGATTTACTTTTAATTATTATATATCTATTCTTACAATGATGATACCGAGATGAGAATGATGCTGAAGTTGGACGGCGTTAGAACTACGTGGGGGTCTTCCTGATGATAGTCCTGGGACACTGGAGAAACTGTAAAGGCAGAACTGGGAGGGAGAACTGGCAATGCTGGATGGAGTGCTGATGCTGCAAGCCCCCTTGAAGAGTCTAATTTTGGAGACTTGCTTGGTCTTAAGCAGCAAAGCCTTGTAAGTAGCTTTATAAGGGGTTATTGCAGCGTTCAGGTCCATTTTAAACTTGATGCCCCGCTTTATGAAGGGATCTTTCTCAAACACCCTGTCACCCAGTACTTTGCCCATCTTAATTATTTTTGCCAAGGTCATGAGTGAGAGCTGTGGTCTTGAATCCACCTCCTCTTCCTCTACATTCTTGTTGTTCTCATTAAATTTTATGAGCTTCTCCAGGTCCTCCATTTTAGGCTCTATTTGATGTGATTCTAGGAGGTCCTTAACCTCACTTGGTGCTAAGCTGACTATCTTCTGCACCTCTTCATCAATGGAGGGAAAGCCACAAAAATCATTAACTACCTCCTTCCACACCTTCCCCCAGCATGCATTTACTGTAGATTGCTTAATTTCCTTAAGGGTATCCTTGATAACAAAGATAGAACCTGCTATATTTGAACTGCTTCCAACAATCAATGACTGAATAAAGGGTCTCTCTCCTTTATATCAAGAATCATCTTGAGTGTATGGTGAATGTAATATAACTTAAACATTGTAATTATCCCTTGATCCATGGGCTGGAGGAGGGTGGTGGTGTTAGGTGGTAAAAATACCACCTCAATGTTAGGGTGAGCAAGCTGAAGACTTTCCAGGTGGCCTGGTGCATTGTCAAGAAGCAAAACCTCCTTGAAACCAAAATTTTTGAATGTCAGGTACTTCTCTACCTCTTGCACAAAACAATTATGGAACCAATCCATAAACACCTCAGCTGTCATCAAGGCCCTCCGGTTTGCACAACAGAACACAAGGAGCTGACATTTATTTTGAACCCTTGAATTAGCGGGAGCTCAATGCTCTGTACACCAGCACTGGCTTCACCATGAAGTCACCAGATGCATTTCCACATAGGAGAAGAGTTATGTGGTCCTTTGCTGCCTTGAATCCAGGAGCAGATCTTTCATGCCTGGAGAGAAAGGTCCATTGTGACATCTTCTTCCAAAAAAGCACGGTTTAGTAACATAGTACCGAAACAACGTTAAGCGGGACGTTGTTAAGTGAGGGCATACTGTACAGGTACACTTACTAAAAAATTTTCTGCCGTGATGAACGTTATCAGATTTCTTGGCCCTGTGTGTCATAATGTATAACCCCGTAAATGTGCAGAATACAGTAGTACCCCGCTTAACGCGGTCAATTGAACCCACAGGGTACCGCGTTAAGTGAAAACCGCGTTAAGTGAACAACAGAACATATGGGATTAATTCCAATAGAGACTGGCCCGACCCCCAAACTCCACTTTTTGACGACACACAACTATGTTGTAGTAAAAATTTTATCTTAACTTTATGATGGTATGCACACACAATTAATAATTAAGAGAAATATCAATAATATTAGGTTTTTTAACACTTGCATTAGTAGAAAAGATGGCTGGGCACACGGGGATGGGGGGTTGGTTCCGAGGCAGAGGGCAGATTATTGGCCCTCACTGTATCACTTGTATCAATTGTATCACTATCCACCACAGAGGCTTGCAGGGCCTCTTTGTCAAACCCCTCAAAGGCCATATAAGTCCATATCCTCACTATAATTATCACTATCACTGACTTGGGCCGGCTGTGGTGGGTGGCGGGTGAAGAACTCGGTAATGTTTTGATGACTGGGCGACCTTGTGCGCATCGTGCCCGCACCGCTTCCCGCGTATATGATGAAAAATTCCGCGTTAAGTGAAAGTTCAGCTCTGGCGAGGCACCGCGTATATGATAAAACGCGTTAAGTGAAACCGCGTTAGGCGGGGTAATACTGTAATCTTTTAGTGAGTGTACAATATACAGTGGTCCCACCATTAACAAGCACAATTGGTTCCACAGAGTCACTTGTTAACTGAATCTATTATTTTAATGGGATATTGGGTAATTGGTTTCAACTCACAGAATTCCCTTAAAATGACTTAAAAAGTACAGTCAGACACCATAATCTCTAGCCCACCTGGGTCTGTGCTGGAGGTTAGTACAGTGTCCTTTCTGGACGGGGGCCCACTCTAGCTATCACGAGGACTGTGTTCGTGCGTGTGTTGCCTCATGATAGAGTGGGCCCCCGTCCAGAAAGAACGCTGTACTAACCTCCAGCACCGACCCAGGTGGGCTAGAGATTATGGTTTCCGACTGTACATACAAAGTATTGTACTGTATACCGGTAATAGAATTGACAAAACATTAAATCTAAACAAAATACAGTACTGTACAATATTAAATAAAATATAATAAAATATTTTAACACTTACCTTGAGGTGTGTATGTAGAATGTTGCTGGCTGAGTTGAAAGGTGGAGGAGAAGGAAGATGAAGGGGAGTGGAAGAGGAGGAGAAGAGAAGCATTTTAATGCTTCTTGGGAGGCGAATCACCTTCCATAATGATGTTAGAAATCTCTGGGGTGACAGATTCTCTAACATGAAAATCCTCTGTCCTCCTTTTTGGAGAGGAAGACCGAGGGGAATCATCTTTCTCGCGCTGCCTTTTAGAGAAGAAGCTGTTAAGTGTCAGTTGTGTGGCATTTCTCTTCCTATTGATTAGCTGGTTCTTGAAGAAGGAGATCACTTTGTCCTCCATGGCACACAATATAGGTTCTGTTGTTTCCACATCAGGGTGCCTTGAAGCCAGTTTCCTAAACTTATTCCAGTGGTGAATGACATCTTTTAAGTCTGAGGTCGACATATGGTCATCACTCTCCCTTTCTTCCTCACCACTGTCTGTTTCAATCATCTCATCCAGTTGTTTCAAATCTTCAGGAGAAAGTTCCTGCTCATGAGACATCACAAGCTCTTCAACATCCTCCTCCTCCACTTCGAGTCCCATTGACTGACCAATGGACACAATCTCCTTGTCCAACTCTGCTTCTTTCTGAAATCCCTCAAAATCATGGACTGCTGATGGCCACAGTGCTCTCCACGCAGAATTCAGGCATTGAGTAGAGACTTCTTGCCATGCTGACACGATCACTTTTACAGCCTCCAGGATGTTGTACTGCGTCTTCCAGAACTGTGCCAGTGATAGATCAGGATCAGTGGTAGTTGCCTGATAACACCTTCTAAACATCATCTTCATATACAGCTTCTTGAAGTTGCTGATTACATTTTGGTCCATTGGCTGCATAACTGATGTAGTGTTGGGAGGCAAAAACAAAACTTTGACGAAGTCAAATCGGGCCTCCAAAGTGCTGGCAAGTTCAGGGTCATGACCAGGGGCATTATCCATAAGGAGAAGAGCCTTTAAAGGAAGTTTATTAGTGGTGAGGTAATTCTTCACAGAAGGACAAAACACCTCAACTGCCCATTCATTAAAGAGCTGCCTCGTTACCCATGCCTTGCAGTTCGACTTCCAATAAACTCCAAGTTGTCTTCTGACCACCTTTTGTTGCTTGAACACCCTGGGGTTCTCAGAGTGGTATACAAGCATAGGTTTCAGTCTGAAATCCCCTGAAGCATTGGCACCAAGCAATAGAGCGAGACGGTCCTTCATTGGTTTATGCCCTGGTAAAGCAGCTTCGTCTTTGGAGATGAATGTCCTTTTGGGCATTTTCTTCCAGAACAGCCCAGTTTCATCGACATTGAAAACTTGCTGTGGAAGATATTCCTCTTTATCCATCAGTTTCTTGAATTCTGCTACAAATTTTTCAGCTCCTTCTTTACCTGCACTTGCAGCTTTACCATGTCTAACAACATAATAAATGCCAGTTCTTTTCTTAAACTTATCGAACCAGCCCTTGCTGGCCTTAAAGTCTTCAAACACAGTTTCAGAAGAACTAGGTTGATCTTCCTTCAAATGTTCATAAATTTCCCTGGCTCTTTTACAAATGAATTCAGCAGAAATGGGATCACCTTTCATCTGTTTTTCTTTAACCCAAATAAGAAGTAACCTCTCCGTTTCTGCAATCAGCGATCTACCTTTAAACACTCTAGTAGATTTATCTCTCACTTTCACTGATTTAAATTTGTCTTTCTGTGCAATAATTGTAGACACAGTCGATGACGACAGGTCATATTCTTTACAGAGTGCATTGGTTCTAATGCCTTTTTCGTGTTTCTTAATTATTTCTTGTTTCACTTGAATTGAAATTGCCTTCCGTGATTTCTTCGGACCAGTGCCTGATAATTTCATCAATAAAATTTTAAGTTCACAACCTGTAATTCCAGATTTTTTAATTAAATCAACACTACACTTTATATTATCAATATGTTAACTAAATTTCAGAATGACCAATAATTTTAATGTAAAAATGCAAAGATATTTAAGAGCACAACTTTCTCAATATTTACTCAACTGGAAACAAAGGTAAACAGAGAATCGTTATTGGCGGACGAGTCGATCAGCTGGTGCGCGCACCAAAAAGTGTTTCTCGTAAGGCTGTCATTAATAGAATTTGTACTCGTTAATAGAACTGAAAGTCCTTACGGGAGGTAACTCGTTAACTGAAATCTCGTAAATTGAACCGCTCGTTAATGGAGGGTCCACTGTACAGTACACTCTACTGTAATACAGAAATAACAATGCGTACAGTACGTACCTGCTTTTATTGTACCATCAAAACCGTTTTATTGGAAATTATCATGTAAATAGATAAGAAATTATCATTGCAATAAACATAATTGCCAACTAGACATAATAATCCTAACTGTCCTCTTGTTCAACCTTATTACTGTACAACCCATGTTGTACTACTCCCCCATTATACTTATGTTTTTCAATTCCACTGTAATTTATGTACAGTATACTGTATGCTTATAATATAAAAAAAAAAAAATAAAAAATATTTGTACTACTCCAGATGATACTAAATGTTACATAATACTTCCTTGAGATAAATGTATAGTACAGTGGTCCCTCGGTTAACGAACACAATTCGTTCCACAGAGTCGTTCGTTAACCAAAATTTTTTTTAACCGAATCCGTTGTTTCAATGGGATATTGGGTAATTGGTTTCAGCTCACAGAAAAGTACATACAAAGTAAAAAAAATGCAGTAAAGTACACTTACTTTGTGGTGTGTATGTAGAAGGTTCCTAGTTGATGATGATGATGGGAATTAGAAGTGGGGGTGGAGGAGAAGGGAGAAGAGAAGGAAGTGGGGATGGAGGAGAAATCATCTTTCAGTGGACCCATGCTTTATGCCGTCATTTCACCAATAAAATTTTAAGTTCACTAGGTGTAATTCAAGATTATTTTATTTAAAACAACACTGCACTGTGCTATGTATTATCAATATGGTAACTAAATTTCAGAATGACCAATAATTTTAATGTAAAAATGCAAAAATATTCAAGACACCAACAAAATCGATGTTCACTGTACTGTAAACAAAGCCAAACTGACGCCTGGTGGGTGAGTCAAGCAGCTGATGGGCGCACAAAAAACTAGTTCCCTGTACTGCATATATTATCAATATGTTAACTAAATTTTAAAATGACAAATAATTTTAATATAAAAAATGCAAAAATATTAAAGAGCACAACTTTCTTGATATTTACTCCACTGGAAACGAATGTAAACACAGAACAGATTACTGAATTGGCAGACTAGCCCATCAGCTGATGCTCACAACAAAACGTGTTTGTTGTAAGGATTTCGTTAATCAAAGTTTTGTTCGTTAACCGAAATGTAGATCCTTATGGGAGGTAATTCGTTAACCGAAATTTTTTTAATCGAACCGTTCGTTAACCGAGGGACCACTGTATATATCAGGTGCCTAAAAGAGAGCTCAGGTTCTCAACTGGCTCAGCCATGTTAATATTGTTATTATTATCCACTCTGTATCTGTTTTTTCTGGCTAAATAAACTGTTTCAATTCAATTCAATCTTAATCTCACTCACCCGCTCACATTCTTTCTCTCTCTGTCATAAACAAATGAATTTACTACAGTACAGTGAAGGTGTGACCCCAATGAAAACAGATAATACAAAAAGCAGGCCCAGGATGATAGGGTTCTGCATAAAATGGAGGGAGGAGTGGGTGGGCCTCCACGGGGGTTGGGCATTCCCTTCCCTTCCACTTGACAATGACAGCAGCTTGTGGGGTGTTCCCCCGGTAATGTCGACGTATACTGTACTGAGTATACTAGAATTAAATTCAAGTACATCTTCATGTCAGTGTATAGGAGGAATTGTTTCAATAGGATGTGGCAACATTCATCAGCACCTTGCTGGATAATCTGTTTTGCTGGGACCAATGTTAGGTTATAATAAATCAACAATACACCTCTGACCCACTAATTATACACCTCCTGTGTCTCTAATCACCATGGACTGCTAGAAACTTAAATTAAACTATGCAATGTTTATACTCAAATTAATCACTATATTACAAGGATTCCAGCAATGTAATTTATATTCTGCCAAGACTAGTCTGCAACATTTTCTAAGATAAAAACTTTAAGCCTAAACTGCCTTCACCCTGGCTGTGAGGAAGGGGGGGGATGTTGACAGCTGTCAGGGAGGGGAGATAACAAAGTGTGTAGTTATCAAAACAGAAGGCCTTTTAGTTTTCCCCTTATAAAATGTCACTGAATTGACTTGCCAGTATATAATTTGCATTGCTGTAATTCTTGTAAGATAGTGATTAATTTGAGTATAAACATCACATAGTTTGCACTAGACATAGAATACACCTCTGACCCACTAGCTATACTGTACACCTCCCGGTATCTTTAAAGCACCATGGCTGCTAGAAACTTAAATTAAACAAATATTTAATGTAAATTAAATGATCAAACGAAACACGGCTGTATAAATGATGCAGGTTTATTAATTATTGAGGGCTGTCAAGGTTGCTGTCTGTTTCATCTTGGACTTGTGGTGTTGTAGGGGGCACATCTGGGGTACTTGAAGTTGAGGCCACAGGTCTTGCAGGTGTAGGCCTACTGCTCTCACATGCATTCTTCTTGGCTAACCTTTTAAACATGTTTCATGTGCTTTGATCTTTCCCTATGTAATTTTTCATGCAACAAATAAATATTCATTAGTTCTTGTTCTGTCACGAAGGAACATTGCTCTAACCCTTTGATAAACTGATCCGACAACTCAATTAACCTGTCAATGGAGACTTTGAGCTTCATCTGTTTCCTCTTCTTCACTGTGTTCTTCATCACATTCATTTTTTTTTCAGGATTCAGAACCATATCTACAATTTCAGAATCAGAATAGTGATGACCAACAGGTGCATCTTCGTCTACACTCATCCACTCTGTCAGATTTTCTTCACTGAGCCGACTTCCTACCTCGTTGGCCACAGATCCTGTAATACCTCTTGCATACTCTAGCAAGTTGCAAACAACTCCCTTCTCTTTTGAGACACAAAACCCTGTAAAGTCATTGTCTTCACTTTCCTCAGGGGAATTTTCAAACATCATGGCAGGCCACAACTTATGCCAGCCTTTTTTTTAGTGTTGATGCTTCTACCTTGTCCCAGGCACTAGCAATAAACCACAACACATCTTTCATGTTAAAATCTTTAATAAACCTCTCTACAGGCTTGCCAGCATTTACCACATCTAACATACGTTTCATGAACAGTGAACAATACTTGGCCTTCAGAGAGCGCAGTATTCCTTGGTCTTGGGGCTGGATCAGTGATGTACAGTTTGGAGGTAAATACACTGTATAAACATTGTTCTTACACATGAGTTCAGCTTTGGGGTGAGCTGAACAGTTGTCCAGAATAAGAAGTATTTTGCAATCATCTGGTAGTCCAACACATTTGCAGTGTGCTCTGGCTTCTGGCACAAAATACTTTTCAAACCACTCTAAGGTAAGCACGGTGGTAATCCAGCCTTTCTTATTGTCACGGTATGTCACTGGGTAAATTTTAACACCTTTCAAGGTTCCAGGGCATTTACTTTTACCTATAACCAGTGGCTTACATCTGTGTGTGCCTGCTGCATTTGAGCACCCTAGGATGGTAACTCGATCCTTAGACTCCGTTGTTAATGTTTTTTGGGGTGTACATCGCCAATACAATGCAGTTTCATCTGCATTATATACCTGCTCAGGACTGAGGTTTTCATCAGTTACAAGCTTGGCAAATTTGTCCACATACTCGGCAGCTTGTTTGCAGACCGTTTTTCACCACAAACCTTACGCATTGCAATTCCATGACTCTTCTTAAACCTTTGAAGTCATCCCTCACTATAGTCACAGTTATGTTCTAAGTTAAGTTCTTCATGGAACACCTTTGCCTGTTCCATTATCATGCTACCTGACAATTCCACTCCTTCAATGCGACGTTGTCGAAACCATTCCATTATCCCTCTATCATGTTCAGTACTCTTACCGCCTTTCATTGTTTTTCTAAGTCATTTGCTTCTTGGAATCACTTTCTGCATAGAATCTCATTACTTTTTCTCTTTGCTTCTTTATATCATACACAGTTGACGAACCAATACCATACTGATTACACAGGTGTCGCACCGAAACACCACATTTTCAAGTTTTCTCAAGAGTTCCACCTTATCTTGTATCAATATGGACTGGTGTTTACGCTTTACACCACCACTGACACTTGTACAGTGGGGTATGCTATAACGAACGGATCCTACTACGAATATCTCTATAACGAACGGTTTTACCTATAAAATTGAGAATGCTATAACGAACGCAACTCCTACAACGAACGCGGATGAATACGGGACTATTTCGTCCGGCGCATGAATATTGTTGTACCGCGGCTCCCAGCAAGAGCGTCAGGCGCCATATTGGTTCATTGTGTAGTCAGTGCACCACTGAACTTGTTGAAATTTCGTCTTTTGATGTGGAAATTCATGTCATTTTTATAACTATTTTGTTATACAAGTGTACAATTGTAACAATGAATCGTCAAAAGCGAGTGAGAAAGCTAATAACCCTTGAAACTATGAAAGAAATTATAAATAAACAGACAAAGTGCCTGTAAGACAGTCACCAAAGAGGGCTAGGAAGGATGACTCCTCTCCTTCCACCTCTTCTCCATAATGCTCTCTTCCCCCCTCCTCCTCTGCCTCCTGTCCTGCATGCTGAACAACACTAAGGTAAGATAAAGTACCGTATTTTTTACAATTTCCACAGACATTTTTCAGTGTTAAGTGGTTGTATTTGGGGGCCTGGAACGGATTAATCCTATAACGAACGATTGCTATAACGAACGAGGTTCTAGAACCAATTAGATTCGTTATAGCATACCCCACTGTATTTGCTTTTGACGCCATAGCTGGGGTTAAATACCTGTATGTGCAAAATAAGCTGAGAATTAAAAAAAATTTGAGGAGCTACCACCAGCAACTGCTGAGTAAACAAACAAAGTTCGTGCAGTTAACACGTAATGTCATCTGCGGGCAGCCCGGTAAATTAATCTGGAGGTCGTGGGAATTTAGTGCGGATTAAAAGAGGTGCCGGACTATCCGTTGTTGATGTCTTTAATATTTTTGCATTTTTCATTGAAATTATTGGTCATTCTGAACTTTAGTTAACATATTGATAATAGCATAGTGCAGAGCTGATTTAAAGAAAATAATCTTGAATTACACCTAGTGAACTTAAAATTTTATTGGTGAAATGACGGCATCAAGCATGGGTCCACTGAAAGGTGATTTCTCCTCCATATCACTTCCTTCTCT